ATTTTTCAGTCATACATGGACATATACACACTCATTGTCACATTTTTTTCTCTGTTAGTTACCATAACGTTTTGTGTATATTTCCCTGTGCTATACAGTATAATCTTGTTTATCTGTTCTACAATTTTGAAATCCCGTCTATCCTTTCCCACCCTCTGCCCGCTTGGCAACCACAAGTTTGTATTCTATGTCTATGAGTCTATTTCTGTTTTGTATTTATGCTTTGTTTTTTTGTTTTTGTTTTTTGTTTTTGTTTTTTTAGATTCCACATATGAGCGATCTCATATGGTATTTTTCTTTCTCTTTCTGGCTTACTTCACTTAGAATGACATTCTCTAGGAGCATCCATGTTGCTGCAAATGGCGTTATGTTGTCAGTTTTTGTGGCTGAGTAGTATTCCATTGTATAAATATACCACATCTTCTTTATCCAGTCATCTGTTGATGGACATTTAGGCTGTCTCCATGTCTTGGCTATTGTAAATAGTGCTGCTATGAACATTGGGGTGCAGGTGTCATCCTGAAGTAGGGTTCCTTCTGGATATAAGCCCAGGAGTGGGATTCCTGGGTCATACAATAAGTCTATTCCACAAATGACAAATGCTGGAGAGGCTGTGGAGAAAGGGGAACCCTCCTACACTGCTGGTGGGAATGCAGTTTGGTGCAGCCACTATGGAAAACAGTGTGGAGATTCCTCAAAAGACTAAAAATATATATTTTAAAAAGGCGGGGGGAGAGTATAGCTCAAGTGGTAGAGTGCATGCTTACCATGCACAAGGTCCTGGGTTCAATCCCCAGAACCTTCTCCAAATATAAATAAATAAATAAACTAATTACCTTCCCCTCATAAAAAAAAAAGAAAATCATCATTGCTATAAAGTGTGTGTATAATTCTGTGTCTTTTTATCACATGTGTAGATTAGTATAACCACCACACAGAAGATACAGAATTGCTCTGTATCTCAAAGATGCAACCCTTTATAGTCACATCCACCCCTTCCTGCTACCATCCCTAACCCTTTGCAACTGCTGATCTATTCTTCATCTCTATAATTCTGTCATTTTGAGGGTGTTACATAGTGGAATCTTACAGTGGGTGGCATTTTGAGATTGTCTTTTTCCATTCAGCATAATGCCCTTGAGATCCATCCAAATTGTTACATGCATCTGTAGTTCATTCCTTTTTATTGCTGAGTAGTATTCAATGGTATAGATAATTTGTTTTGTTTTATGGGGGAGGTAATTAGGTTTATTTACTTATTCTTTTAATAGAGGTACTGGACATTGAACCCAGGACCTTGTGCATGCTAAGCACACACTCTACCACAGAGCTATACCCTCCCCTCTAGATAATTTTACCCCTGCTTTTCAAATTTTCTGCTGAGCATAAAATGTTTTAAGACTTAGGAAAAGGAAAAATACTTGTAAGGGGGACAATGCAGAGAGAAGCACTTCATGTGTTTAAGGAAATTTTATATTGAATTAGATAATAGAAGTTTAGGTTTAAAATGCCCTCAGCAGTCACCTGGGTAAGTTCTTCATGTTTGAGGAGTCCTCCTTGCAGTATCGTGACAGGTTTTTGTGCAGCCTCTGTGTGGTTACTCCCAGTGACAGAGAACTCACTACCAAATGAAGCAGCTCATTAAATTGATATGGAATATGTCTTTCTTCCTGGAGCTTGGGCATGACTGAGAGATCTTCTGTCATAGGTTATTTTCACCCTGCCTGGAATCTCTTTCGTCTCCTCACTAACTAGATAAACACAAACCCAAGACAGTGAGCAAAGCCAGCAAAAGCTAGAGCAAGCTGGGGATGTCCTAGATCCAGGATTGTCCTCTCTAGGGAGATTTCAGCATTCACTGACTTAGAAAAACAAAGGAATGCAGACCTTTTAAAATGGAATGAAATTCTGCTTGAACACACACACAGATACCCATTGTCTCCTGGGGATGTTCTCCTTTCTGCATGATAGAAATGCCCTTCAGAAGGCTTTAACCACTAATCTCAGAGGAAGGCTCTCAGAGTCTCTCCTGCCTCAAATCCCCTGTATCAGATCAGAGATCTCTTCCTTTTCCTCCAGCCTTCCTTGAACGCACACTCTGATCTGTCCATGGTTCTGATTGTGAATGGAAACCTTGTAGCTTCTGTTTATTGAACACTTACTATATGCCAAGGACTGTGATGTGCTTCTTACATCTACCTTCTTTCTATTGACGTATATAAGACATAACAGGAAAGAGCACAAATCATAAACGTACAGCTCAATGAATTTTCATGCAGTGAATACATTCATATAACCACCACAAAGATCAAGAAATGGCATTATCAGCAGCCCAGAAGGTCCCTTGTGTCCCCTACCAGATGCTATCCTCCAGCTGTAACCACTACCTTGACTTTTAACGGCATAGATTAGGGGTTTTTTTCTACTTTTTGACTTTATATAAATGGATCATGCAAATTGTCTTCTCTTTTGTGTCTGGCTTCTATGGCCCGACATTGTGTTTGTGAGGTTTATTCACATTATTCCAGATAGTTGTAGTTTCTCATTCTTGTTAGTGTATAGCAATACCTAGTATAAAATACTCCACAATTTATTCATTATACTCTTGATGGGGCATTTAGGTTGTTTCCAGTTTTCTACCATTATGAATATTGCTGATACAAAAACTCTTGCTCCTGTCTTTTGGCAAACATATGCTTTTCTATTATATATAATATATATTATATATACATGTGCATATGGATATGTGTACACATACATACAGATACATAGGGTGGATTGTGGGTGGGTAAATTTTTCAATTCCCATTTTTCAGAGAAGAAAACTGAGGCTTGAAGAAGTTGAGTCAGCAAGTAGTGGAGCTGGGATGTGAACTCAGTCCTGTCCGGCACTGGAGCTCAAGCTCTCTAACCATCATACTTCACTGCTTCCCAATGCATGGGCTGTTAAAAGTACTCATGATGTATCAGACTGCTTGCTACCATTAAGAGAGATTAAAAGATAGGAAGGCAAATCACACAAGAAAAAAATGATAGATGCTGGTGAACGGCACACGGGTGTGACGAGGAGCCTGAGGGAGTCATTTTTATCTTGGGAGGTCATAAGAGGCTTCCTAGAGGAAGAAGCATATAAAGAGGATGGACGGGGGCAGATTCTGGGCATGTCGGAGTGATGAGGGAAGGAGTGCCAGGCAGAGAGAGTGGTGGAGCACAAGAATAGGAGGCCCTCATACAGACACAGCTGCAAGGGCTTCATAGATATTTCATCCTGTCCCCAGTATCCACCCACGCATCTCTACACTGCTGGCTTCCAGATGTTTACAGCCAGTCTTGACCACTTCCCTACTTGCCAAACTCTTTTCTATCCAGCTAGATGGCAAATAGGCATCTCAAATGTAATATGGGCAAAACCGGCCTCCTGATCTCCCTCCCCCACACATGCACTCCAAACTGCTCCTCTCCGATCTTTCTTGGTCTGGCACTACCAACCACCAATTGCTCAGGCCCCATGCTGCAGCATCATACTTCCTTCTTCCCTTTCCCACATCCAATCCATGAGCACATCCCGTCAGCTCTATCTATAAAGCACATCCTGATTCTGGCCTCTTCTGACCATCTCCCTGCTACTATCCTGGTCATGGCCACACCGTCACTCACGTGGATGGCTGCAGCAGCCTCCTCACTGCTCTCCCTGCTCCTTTTGCAGTTCCATAGGGGAGAAGACTTCTTTTCCTCTTCCAGTTTCTGGTGGCTCCAGATGTTCTTCAGCTTGGGGCTGCTTAACTCCAATCTCTGCCTCTGTCTTCACATGGCCTTCTTCTGTGTATCTCCTCTTACTGTTATTGGTGAACTCCTCTTATTGGTTATTGGATTTAGGGCCCACCTGGATAATCCAAGATGAACTCATCTTGAGATTCTTAGCTTAATTACACATGCAAACCCCTTTTTCCAAATAAGGGCACATTCATAGGTTCTGGGTGCACATATCTTTTAGGGAGCTACCATTCAACCCACTATAGAGATGAATACCAGAAAAAAAATAGCTAAAAGGATTTAAATTGAGTTTAAACTTTAGTCCTCCAGTGAGTGATTACTTTTCAAAGCATAGAAGACTCTTGGCCTGCACATACATGCTATTTCAGCACTGACTGTTCATGCATCACTTCGAAGATCATTCTGAGGAGTGAGTGTCTGCACTGTGCTTGCTGCTGTGGGTAACTTGAGGCCGTGGGTCTCTAGGTGGGAGCCTTACTGCAGCCTCAAACCTACCAGAACCTCTCTGTTCACTGTTAAGGGCATTGCCACTGCTACAAAGGGGACAGAATTGTTCCCTTCTGAAAAAATGATCTCCCCAAGGAAAGCCAGCTTCTAGTGCTAATGGTAAGAGAAAACAGAAGGGATCCAAAAAAGTGCTGGTTCTCACCCAGTGTGATTGGCAGCCTCTACGATGGATATCCCCCAGTGATCCCACCTCCTGGGTTTTATGCCTTTGTGTAATCCTTTCCCATTGTGGGTGGTCTGGGTCTAGTGACTTCCCTTTACTGAATAGAATCCAGTAAAAGTGACAGGACGTCATTTCTGAAATTAGGTTACAAAAAGATTGTGGCTTCTGTATTAATCACCTTTTTTTGTTCTCTAGCTTGCCTGTTTGGCCTTTTTTGTTCTCTAGCCTGCCCTGTCGAGCAGCCCTAAGGAGAGGCCCATGTGTCAAGAAATTAATATCTCCAGCCAACAGCCTATAAGATCCTGAGGTCCTCAGCCCAAAAGCCTTCAAGGAATTTAATTCTGCCAGTAACCTTGTGGGTAAGCTTGGAAGTGGACCTTCTGAGGCCTGCAGACAGCCACATGAGTGAGCTTGGAAGTGGATCCCCCTTTGAGCCTTCAGATGAGTGCAGCCCTGGTCAACACTTTGAATGGAGCCTGTGAGAGACCCTAAGCCAGGGGCACCCAGCCAAGCTGTGCCTAGATTCCTGCTCCACAGGAATTGTGAGATGATATATGTTTGCTGATTAAGCTGCTAAGTTTTGGAGTAATCTGTTATGCAGCAATAGATATACCAGATACAGATTTTTAAGATATATTCAACCATGTGGAAGGCTAAAGCTACAATGATAGCTCTGTTTATAACAATTGGGGATTCACAGATATTAGCTCATATCCCTCAAGAATCTACAACATCTCCCACTCCTTTGATTCTGTTTATATTTTAAAACAAATATAACATCAAACTATAGTGACAGTTGCACATTCTATTTTTTCTGCTTGATAGGTTGTAAGCATTTTCTCACCTCATTAAATATTCTTCAAAGCATTCTTTGTTCTCAGCATCTCTTCAGTAGTCCATCATATGAGTACACCAACATTAATTAAGTCATTCCCCTCTCTTATTTGTTTTGAGTTTAAAGTAGGGTTTTACCTTTTGGGGTCCCATCTATCAGTATGTTTCAGCCCCTCCATTCAGGGCCTACAGGGAGAGTTTGTGGAAGGTGGAAGGTAGGATTGCCTGTGGTTAAGTGTTCCTGAAGTTGCATCAAGCCTATACCATTTCCTGGCTATATAACCTTAACTTCCCTGGGCCTCAGTTTCCCCTTCTAAACAGTGGAGTAATAACTAAGCCTACTTCGCAGAGTTACTGGAAGCATCATTGAGTTAACCTAAGTTAAACACAACAGAGTGCCTGACAAATTTTAGGGCATATAGACACAGGCCAGACCATAGTACTTCATCTCCCTGGCAAGTCCTGGTGCATCACACATCATATTGACTTGTCCTACATTCCAGCTGACCTCAAGGATGGGGTTGGAATGGGAGGTCCACGAGGGGTTGCCAACCTCTAAAAGATTCTAGACTGTTCCCTCTTTTTTAAAAGCCCTTTGGTTTCAACAGTACAACGTACATCTGAGCTTTAAACAACTAGCCAAAGCAAAAAGAATTGGAAAACCCTTTAATTTATTTACCATAACATAGGTGCCAGGACTTGTGCTCAGCATCCTGGAGTGTGTCAAATACTCAGCATAGTGTCTGCTTACATGTGTGTAATCTGGGCAAAGAGCTGGAGCTTCTCATCTCAGGCACTTTACAGTCTTTGTCCTGAGTCTGAATGAAAACCTGCCACCGTCCCCCCACCCCACCCCCACCCCCGAGCAGATGCTGCAGCTCAGCTCCTACCTGGTCCCAAGCCCCTGGCCTTCTAGCTGCTATCAGGCCAAAGAGCACAAGGACACTGCTCAGAGGGACCCGAGGGTAATGGGGGTCTGGGGGCTGCACAGGGATGGGAGTGGTACTGGAGAAGACACAGTTCTCACTGCTGCCAGGTGCCAGTTCAGCACTTGCAAAGTTTATAACTTTACATCTGGTCCTTCCTCATTCTTTCCACCTGCCTTTTGTGCATGACATGAATGCTCTCAGAGATCCACCTGCCATGGTCCTAGGGGGAGGGAGGAGGCAGGGAGCTATTTGGGAATAGCCTGGAGAGCTGACCCTGCAGAATCTCCCCAAAGTCAGGGTATGGTTATAGGATTTCAGTGGAAATCTCAAGGGGACTGTTCCAGGCTTGTCCCCAACTCCAACCCACAGGTTCAGTGCTTTGGCACCAAGAACACTGCTAGAGGTAGAAAGAATTCACTTCTGGGCTCCTGCTTAGCCTCTCCCCATCCAGGTTTGGACTCTGGACCAGCCCCAGTGAGGACAAGGTTTCAGAGACTGCAGGGCTCTGTGGCCCTGGAAATCACAAAGCAGAGGGGAGAGGCCCTCCCCACTCCTAGCACTCAAACCTCCTCACACCAGTCCTCAGTTTCTAGGACTTCAGCTCCTAGAGTGCCTGGGCCAGGATCCCACCAGGGGAAGGAGGAGCAGTTGGTGGTGTTTCAGTTCCCAAGAAAAGCTGTGTGACCTTGGACAGTCACCCAACTTCTCTGAGCCACCCCTTAAAAAGTAGACTGACAATCTGGATTTTGCAGGGCAATCACAAGGTTGAAATAAGATAGTAGTGGTGACAGGACCTGGCAAAGTGGTGGGCATGCAGTGATGGCTTCCTTTCCCTGGTGAAATCCTGGTTCAGCTGGTCAGCCAAGAAAGGCGGACTCCAGTGCAATGGAGGAGATGCCCATGTGCCAAGGCTGTTTCTGAGTCCAAGGAAGGGGCCAGCCTAGCTCTGGGGGCCAGTTAGAAGTGGACTTGAGCAGAGGAGAGCAAGGGGAAGGCCAGGAGAGGGTGGGGGCTGGGATTCACACCCAGTCCTTGCCCATCTGCTGCTGATGAAGCAGCCTTATGTTCCCTGCCCTGCAGATGGCCCAGTCCCAGAGCAGCTGCGGGGCTGTGGGGTGAGAACTCCGGCTTCCCCCTGGTGGCGTGCTCCAGCCTGAGGGACTGTAGAGGGGTAGGCTGGGCTGGGGGGCTGGGCATGAGGGTGTTGAGCTTCGAGGAAGGCCTCATTAGGCCAGAGTCAGTGGGCAAGGCAGATTGGATAGGACTAGTGGACAGGTGGGCCGAAGATGCAGTGACCGCAGTGGGACCAAGGGACAGCGAGGGCAGAGGGGACAGGAGGAGGCCAAGGGAACCATGAGGCTGTGGATCTGGAGAGAGTTGCTGAGCCGAGGGAGAGGAGACGAGGGTCTGGAACAGGCCTGGCTGTCCCTGGCAGCCATGTTGTTCATGGGGCACAGGGCTTGGGGGCCGCTCAGCCGGGCCCCAGCAGCCAGGGGACACTGGAACCAAGCAGGTGGCACAGTCCATTGGGCATAGGCGCTCATGCATGTGCAAGGTCTGACTCCACCACGCCAGCTCTGCCTGAAGGGCCTGGATCTCCTTCCGCAGGGCGTGGTTGTGTTTCTCCAGTGACTCATGCTGCTGGGGGGAGAAGCAGATGGGGGGGAGGGTTATGTTAGCCAGAATCAGGGGCCCAGCATGAGCCCTATTTCCCAAACCCCCAGGGTCCTCAGTTTAGGAGGAAAGACATCACTGCCACCTGATTGCCCTTTGGCTACTCTCTGGCCAGCCCTCCATAACCACCAGCAAGTCTCTCCAACTCTGCCTCTTACTAGGGTTCAGATCTGCCTGCTCTCCAACCCCACTGCGAGTTCCCTCAGCCGGCCAGCCTGGGATCTCCACTCACCTGGGAGCCCCACCAGCTTCCTAACTGGTGCTCCCTACAAACCACCCTGTTCTCTTGGCCCAGAGGAGACATTCAGTGACTGCATCATTAATGGAACATCAAAGCCCTTTAGCAGGGAGGGTATAGCTAAGTGGTAGAGTGCGTGCTTAGCATGCACAAGGTCCTAGGTTCAATCTCCAGTACCTCTATTAAAATAAATACATGAACAATCCCAATTACCTACCCACCTCTAAAAAAAAAAAGCCCTTTAAAGGCTCCCTGTGCTTAGTGGCCCCAGCTCACATCTCCAGTTTTATCTCTCCAATTTCTCCTGCTCCTCCCATTTCCTGTTCCTCAAATGGACTCTGCTTCCTCCCCACATTTCAGGTCTCCTCCACTTAGACACTTCCAGCACCCCCATCCCTGGGCTAATCCTGACATGGTCTTCTTGTGACAACTTAGATGTCCTTCTGTCTGCTTAGTGCCACTACCAGACCTCCCCAGAGCCCAGAACTCGCTCACTGAGGCACCAGGGGCGGGGTCCAGGGTAATGTTTTACAGGGCATCACCACAAGTGCAATCTCTTCAGCATCCCTGAGCCAGAATTTGGGTTCTGCACTGCTGAACGCTGGGTTCTGACAATCCACTGGGACAATCAATAATCAATGTGCAGTTCTAAACAACCATTTATGACAACAATGGTGGAAAACGCAAAAAGAACTTTATTTCCACAGCTCACTAGGCTGAGTGACTTGTTTTGGTTCCCTCCTCCCCACCCCCTTTTATGGACACTTTTTAAAAGAAGAAGCTGCAAGGATGCTTTACATAAAAATATTGCTTAGGCCATGGACTCAAAGTTCTAGCAGGCCTCAAAGCCACCAGCAGCCCCTTTCCCAAGCTGATTTCTGGTGTGGAATGTGGAATGACATTTTTTAAACATGTCATTAGGTCACCCTACACCTGAGTTCTCTAAAGACTTCAATTCACCTCCAGAAATTGAGTCACTCACTCATTTATTCGCCACCTTCTGGCTGCTCAAATATCACCTCCTCCAGGAAGGCTTCCTTAGTTTTCCATCATCTCACGTGCCCCACTCCCTTTCCTCTTCACTGCTTTAATTCTTCCCATCTGATATCCTAAATACCTCATGGATCATTTATTTGTCTGTCTGGCTCCCCCATGAAACTATAAGCCCTGGGGTGGGTGAGCCACACTTTTATCTGTTGTGTTCATACAGCTGTATCTCCAGTGCTTAGAACTGTGCTTGCCACACAGGACATACTCAATAGGCATTTCTGGAAGAAATGAATAACAAATGCATGATCTCTATCCTTGCCAGGCAAGTGTCATCCTGGGCATCAGTCCTTACTCTTGTGCATTCCGCAGGGTGCTGCTCTCTCACGCTTATGCCAGCACTATTCCATTTGCCTGCAATGCCTTTTCTAAACCTTCATTCATTTGGAAAACTCCTATTCATCCTTCAAAACCAGCTCAGACTTCATCTCTATATCACCTCGACACTACTACTTGCGTGTTGGCCCCACCTCTGTGCTCCCAGAGCACTTTATTCTGACTCCATCTTTCGCTCCGCAGGGAATTATTGAGTCCCTTCTATTTGCCAGGCACTGTTCCAGGTTATGGGGAAACAGCAGGGGACAGAATAGTTCTCAGCCCTCATGGTGCTTACAGTCTGGCAAGGGAGACAAGCAATTATGAACATCTAAATATGTGATAGAAGTTCAGTGCTAACCAGAAAAATAAAGCAGAGGAACAAGGATCTTATGGTTTAGAAAGGTCCTACAGAGGAAGTGACATTTGAACCAAACAACCAAAAAGAAGTGAGGATCTAGCTAGACTGCTGTCTGAAAGTAGAGGCAAGAGCCAGGCGGAGTCCCTGAGGCTGGATCTGCTTGGCCAGTGAAGGAACAGGGAGAACAGAGTGCAGGATGTTAGGAGAGGAGAGGGACCAGTGTTGATGGGGCCGCAGATAGTGTAGGGCCTTTGGGTGTGGAGGGCTCTGAATTTTATTCATCACTATGAGGACTAACATGTATGTGTATGCAGCCCTCCCAAAGGCTAAGTCCTGAACCCAGGTCTTAATTGTCCTTCTGGGATGGAACTGGTGGTGTCCTTTCTCTCTGCACAGAGAAAGAAGGGAAGCTCAAAGTCAGATTACCATCCAAGGTCAGACTACCATCCAAAGTCAGATTACCATCCAAGGTCAGACTACCATCCAAAGTCAGATTACCATCCAAGAGGCAAGTGCAGGTGCCATTCCACCAGGCTTCTTTGCCTCCTTAGTCCTGCCAGTGGGCGGTGTCCTGCCAGTGGGTGGGGATTATTGTCCCCATTTTCAGATAAGGACAGTGATGCTCAGCAAAGAAAGTGCCTTGTGGTTAGTGAGTGCCGCAACTGGGACCCTAAATCCAGCCCATCTCAACTCTGAGCCAGTTTCCCACAGTGTGATCTTGGCCACCCACATCAGAACCCTAACAGGCAGCTCCCCGGGCCCCATTCCAGCCTCCTGAGGTGGGTCCCGGGTGGGAAGGGGTTGGGGATCTGTGTTTAATGAGTGCGTCACCTGGTCACTGGGCCAGGTTCTCCCTGTTTGCCTCCATTTCTTGTTTCCTCGCCCTAGACTGGGGATGCCTTGAGGGCAGGCCTGGACTGAGGATACTCTGTTATGTCCCTGGAGCCCAGCATGTATATGGCACATGGTTTCCACTCAACACTCAGGAATTTCCAAATCTCAGCTGCAGAGCCCTTCCCTCCTCCCAGATTCAGGCCACCTGGAACATACAGCAGCGTAGAGGGAACTGCTCATAGGTGGGATGGAGAAGAGGTGGTGAGGCCAGGTAAGTGGCGTCAGGGATGGGAAGGGAGGCATCTCCCACCTGGTGAAGGGCGTCCGCCTTGTTCGTGTGCTTCTGCCGGCTTCTCTGCGCAGCCGCCCGGTTCTTCTGTTTCTTCTTCAGCTGCCTCTGAAGCTCCTCAGGGTCCTATGGGGGCGAGAGGCAGAGGGCTCAGGGGTCCCAGCAGGGCTGGCTAGCTACCCAACGATACCCTTCTTGAGTCAAGACCCCGAGGGCCCCCTTTATCTCAGAAGCCCTCTCTGTCTCCTTTGGCATCCACACCTCCATCACAGACATGGCACACCTGGTTGGAATGCCAGCCTCACCCACATGTCCTGCTTACGTCTCACATTGAGGCTGCACAGGCGGGGAAGCTGAGAGCCTGAGATTCAAACCCAGATGGAACTGACTTCACATCCACACTCTCCTTATCAGCCGTGTTGCTCTGGGCAAGTCACTCACTCCCTGGGTCCAGTCGCCTCATCTGTGCAGTGGAGGCACCAGTGTCTTCCTCACAGGCCAGAAAGTAGGCAGCCCCAGGCCAGCCCAGCGGAATTAATAAAAGTCGGCTGCTGTTGTTTGATCGCCATCCTTTCTACGGTCCAGGTGTTGATTTCCCTAGCTGTGAGCTCTGTCTATGAAGGTGGGGCAGGGTTCTCATTCAGCCCCACATACCCATGCCCAGCTCAGGGCAAAGCTGATGCTCACTTACGCAACAAATATCTGTTGAGCACCTACTATGTGCCATGCACTCAGCTCTGGGGACACAGCAGCAAGCAAAAGTACCGGCCCTCCAGTTCTCCCATTCCACTGGGACAGCGGCCCAGAATGAATGAATTGGGTCCCTTCTGACAGAAGAGTGGACTCAGAGGTCGATAGCTGTGACTGGGGTTCCTAAAACTTAGATGAAATACTTAACCCAGATGCTCAGAGTTCTGGAAGTCCAGGAAGAGGGAACATTGGAGACCCCACAGTCCACTCTGGGAGGTGTGTTCTGAGGGTAGGGACCGCAGGCAAGACCCTGGCCTCCCCAGCTGAGGACTCTGTACTCCTAGGTTCTCGGCCACAGCAGGCCCACTCCAGGTGCTGGAGAGGCAGGAGCCTGGGGGAAAGACCTGCATCCAGAGAACAGGGCGGGCCTCTGGTACCTGGGTCCTGGGAGAGGGGCAAGGCCTCCAAGGGAACCATAGCCAGAGAATTTGGAGAGGGGAGAGAAGGCTCTCATAAAGACAGTGAGAGGAGAACAGGTGGGTTAGGAGAGAGAGTATTCAGAGGCCAAGTTCTAAACTGGAGCCTGGATCTGCAATACGAGACCAGGAAATCCCTTATTCCAATTCTCTAAGGAAACCGAGGCCCAGAAGGGGTGTGTAAGCTCTTGGCTAACACAGCTCATGTGAACAGAGCTGGCACCGGGGACGCTGGGGCATATTCCTCTTCTTATCCCCTGACCCTGGTCCCCTATACTCACCGTCCCGCTCAGCAGCCCATTGCCCCCGCAGAGCTGCATGGTTGGGCAGGAGAACAGAGGCTGGCACTCAGTTCAGGGTGTCCCTCAGCTGCTGTGACCTCCCAAGGCCCTCTAGGGGCCCAAGGAAGTGGCAGCTCTTTAAATCTCCAGTGACCACTCCGCCCCCAGCAAGCCAAGTTTCAGTTTCTCCTAAAGCCACCGGCTGCTCAGAATCCTGGGCTTGGGTTGGCTCACGTGGCTGGAATTTCCTAACATGAACTGGCCTTCCGGTTGGGCCCCTTCTCTGGAAGGAGGACGGTGGAGAGTTGCCAGAGGAGGGAGGCTGAAGACCAGGTGTAGGGAGGGTGTTTGGGAGAGGGAGGCAGGCTGCCAGAGACTGAGCCAAGAGGAGAAGGCAGTGGGGGACCAAGGGCTCACATGGGTTATGGGAGAAACTCTGGGCTCTACAATTGAAGGAGCCCAGGTTCATAGCCCACCTCTGGCACATTGGAGCTGTGAAGCTTTGAGAAGGTAATTTACCCTCTCTGAGCCTGAGTTTCCGCATCTGTAAAGGGAGTAGGGGGATGATACAAATGCCCACTCACAGGCTTGATGTAGTAACTAAGCGAGCTAATACAACCACCCCCAAACCCTGTGAGACCAATGTTGAGGCATGTCTGCAAAAAAAGCAATGGCCCTTAAGTAGGAGAACAGATGGATAAGTTACTGTGTTTTCATACAACAGACCACGCAGCAGTAAAGACAGGGACGTTTAGCAGTTAAGAGCACAGCTTCCAAGCTATGTGACTTGGGTACACAATTTCATCTTTCTGTGCCTCTGTTTCCAAATCCATGAAGTGGGAATAAAAATCATTTATTGTCAAATTTAAATGAGTTAAGGCACATTAAGGCAGTTGAAACCATGCCTGGTGCAGAATGAGGGCTCAACAAATATTCACAACTATAATATGATGGAAGATTCAAAGCTGCACTTATCATCATGCCTAAAAGTTCAAAACATCCAATTGCATGAAAATAACAAGCTGCAACAAGATCTGGGCAACATAATTTCTCTAAGGTTGAATAATATGGGTATGTAATTACATGCTAAAAGTATGAAAATAGGCATGAGAATGAGAAACACAAAATTCTGAGAGTGATGGCCTGGCGGGGGTGGGGGTGGAGATGGACTGAGGGAATACACAGGGACTTCAGTTGTGTCTGTGGTGTTTTGTTGCTTCAACTGTGGGAATACAGTTGTCTGTGATAATATGATTATCTACACTTAGGAGTATACCTGATATGTTTCACTACAAAAAGTTCTGTTAAGGACTTGTCAAACCCTGAAGCCCCAGGCCAACCTGCATGGCTAGTGTATCTCTAAGAGAGACCATGCTTGGAAGGGACAAGAGTTCGGGGGATGGCAGAGCCATTAATTCCAGTCCGAGAACAACGTAGCAACTGATGAGCAGTGGAGAGTCCTGTGACCGGATGACTAGGGCATTGAGTCCTGAGGGCTCAGGGCTGATGGTGTGGGATCACAGGAATAGCAAATAGTGTGGATTTGATCTTCTGATAGGTAATAATGTCCTGAAGTACTGTGTAGATGAATTCACAGTTGCCTCTGTGGGGAGTAGGAGTGGGAGGGTAAATCTCAATAGTAGAGCATATGCTTGGCATGTACAAGGTCCTGGGTTCAATCCCCAGTGCCTCTGTTAAGGGGGACGGGGAAAAAAAAACAACACCCAACACAGCTGCCTCAGAGCTTATTAGAAAAGAACACTGAAATTGATTAGCAATGTCTGCTGTGCCGTGATTGATTAATGCTGTCTGTCATGAGCAGGGTATTGAGAGTAATACTCTCCTGCTATGCCCAGAAATGGGCACGAAAACAGTCTGGACTTTAGAGTCAGACTTGACTCTGACATCTGGCACTCCACTCATCAGGTCTGTCACCTGGAACCTCAGTGTCCTGTGGTTCACACAGGACACTGTGCACTGTGGATGACAAAGAAATCATACCTATTTACAGAGTTGTTTTGAAGATGGAAAAGAATGCGATGTGAAGAGAGCTCTTTGCATATTGTGAAGTACTATCTGGCTAGAATCCATTCCCATCCCTGAGATTTGTGGGTACACAGGATTGATGCAGCCTCATAATTTAAGTCTGGGTGGGTGGGATTGGGTATGACAGCTGGGCCTGGCTCTCTTTGCTTGTGAGGTGCCTGGGAGCAGAGGCTGAAGCAAGGCATCCCATGCAGTGAGGCTGTCCTGATTTCTCTGAAATATTTTTGTTTCCCAGAAACCAGGAGGGCTGGGACTTCTTGCCTGAGGCAGGCACCTGAGGGGCTCATTAAACCAAGAGCTCCTCAGGGAAGGATCCGGGGGAGTCACCGCACATGATGTAACTGTGAAAAGACATCTGGATAGGAAAGTCTAGGGCCCAAGTATCCCCACCTCAGCCCCCAGCCCCAGACCTTGACTCCAGTCTTCCCTTCTGGCATCAGGGTCTAGAGACCCTGTGAAGGCAGGACAGTCAGCAAGTGTGCCTATTGCCCCTCTCAGAAGGCCACAGCCCATGAGGAAGATCAAAGAAGGCAGCATTTATGGCTTGATCTCCCTGAGGAGTGGCAGGGAGGAAGGGACACAGAGTGGGTAATATTTAACCATGAATGGCTGTGCAAGGCTGGCAGGACAGGGTTCAGGACCATCCAGTACAACTTCTCACTTAGAATGTGAGGAACTAATGCCCAGAGAGGCAAGGTCACCTGGGGGAAGGGAGCGGAGTTGGAGGGAGGACACACCTGTCTCCTCCAGCCCTCAGTCTTTCTCCACACCCAGCATGGAAAAGCCTGGTGCATGCCTCAGTGCATGAAGGCTTGGAGGCCTCCCGAGCTACAGTGAGAGCTCCTGGGCTGCAGGCTCGTTGCCTGTCTCACTCTCTGAAGCATCCCCAGTGCCTCAAACACTGTCTCCCTGTAACAGGTGCTCAATTAATAAATACATGAGTGAAAGTCAAGCAGGCAGCTTGCCATCTGGGAAGCCCAAAAGGTTCCTGGATGAGTTTTAAAAAACTCCCGCTTTACTCTTTCCCACAGGACCTTCTCTGGGTTCCTGGGGGACTCTCCCTAACCAACCTCCTCATTTTACCAGTGGGGAAACTGAGGCACCGGGAGGGGATGGTCACACAGCTGGTTTGAGAGAAGCCAGGATGCATTGATACCCTGTCCCAATTTCTTCCCACACTTTCTGGGGTTGAAGAGATGCCGGGAGTCTCCAGCTACCCAGGCATAAGAAGCCCTCTTTCTAGGTCCCCCACCATGTGCAACCCTCATTTGAGGCCTGGCCTCCACAGGGTACCTCGAAGGAGTTTCAGACGATGGGTAGCAGAGAAAGAGGCCAGGTGGCTGCTGGTAGGGCTGAGGCTGGCTATCAACTTCCCATTCGCAGTTGTGGATGGGTCTTCTGGAAACTAAGCCCCAGCTAGGAGGGTTCACAGCCTAATGGTGTGTAGGACGCATTGACTGGGAGGGCAAGGGAGGAGGGTGACAGCCTGCTTCTGTGAGGGCATCTGTGGTAGGCAGGGGGCATCTCCTGTTAGGGAGATCAGAGAAGGCTTTCCAGAGAAGGAGCTCTTTGGGGAGGACATTGAAGAATGGGGAGGCTCAATCCCAGGGCCTGGAACTTGATCTTGAGCTAGTCATTTAACTAACCTCTTTATGCCTCCCTGTGAAATGGGGGTGATAACGTAAGTATTTAATGATGTAACATAGTAAAGGGATTAGAATAGTGCCCGGCACACAGAAAGTCACATAAACATCTGTTAAACTTTTAAACAAATGCATTTGATAAATAACTGATGAATTTTTTGTTCATATAACAGCAGGCTTATATTGTGTTTTAGATGATGATGATGATGATGATGAAAAAATGGCAGAGTGCAAGAACAGAAATGAGATTTTTTTTCTAATGAAATATATTTAATGAAGAGAGAGTTAGTGATTGTGTCCATATGTAAGAAGCAGCACTTAGTATTTGATGAAAATGACTCAAAGTTTCTCATGCCTACAAAGGAGTCTCAATAAGAGATGAGCAATTAGGGTTATTTGGATTCTTACTTTTATAAATGAACTAACTAAGCTTAAGTTACTGAAAAATATAGAGTATAACAGCTTCAGGCATGGCTAGATCATGATGCCCAAACAGTGTTATCAGGAGTCAGTGTCTCACCCCATCTGCTCTCCTCTGGGCTGGCTAATTCTCAGGCAGGTCCTGCTCATTGTGGTAAGATGGCCATCAGAAATACCAGCGTAGCTGCCCTAGGAGAAGGGTGCATCCCTCCACTTGCTGTCACTTTTCCAATAGTTCCAACAAAGGTCCCAGGCCTGGCTCTCCTTGGTCTGGCTTGAGTCATGTGGCTATTCCTGACATCAGGTATAGTGGCCAGGAGAGAGGATGAGACAGGCAAGGCTGGGGTCCCATAGGGACTAGAACTGAGGGAGGGGAAACTTTCAGAGGCCATTGGGGTGCTGTTGGCAGGAGAAGGGGAAATGGATGGTAGGCTGACACCACCACCTTGGCTTAAATTCAGATATGAGGAATTTGACACTCAGCGGTACATCCCTGGGCCAGGTCACATCCCCAGGTGGGATGGACTCAAAGCCCCGTATGTCTCTGACACCAAGCCCAGCACCCTCTCTTATTGCTTCACAGGGACACATAAGCAGGAAAGCAAAGTCTTGCTAAGGGGACGGCTCCAGATGAACTGTATGCTGGGCGAGGACTGGGGCGGTGACATCCTGGGGACTCCCCAGGGCATAGGAAGGAAAAGACTGACTTTCACTTCAGCACAGTATCTTGACTTTGTGAACTCTCATTAAAGCTGGAATCTGCAAATAGCTAGGCTTCCCAGGAACTGGGTGACTTCACCGGGGCTCTGTGATGCCATCACTACCCTGTCCTCGGTCAGAGCTGGCGCACATTCTCACTCCTCCAGTCCTGCTGGGCCCTTGCTGCCTCCAAAACTTTGTGCTTCTGACTGCTATTCCTAGGAACGTACACATCTTTCCAGGAAGCTAACTCAAACTTTTGGAAGTGGGAAGGGAGTGTAAATAATAAACGGTTGAGTGTTGAAGAGTCAGAGAGACTCCCAGGGCTCGGTGGGATATGGCACTGGTAACCACAGCTCCAGGATTTTCCCAAGTGGTCCAAGTACCAGAC